TGCCTCCAAATAAGAGGCAACACTCTGCTTCAAACACCGGTATCACAACCCTAAGTTCACAATTAAAAAAATCTTTGTTTGCCCTCACCCGACCCAGGCTGAAAGGTTTGGGTAGGTAGTTAAGCTTAATTTTTTTTGAAGGGGGTCTTTTTACAAATTCAGCATGGTGTCTACATGCTCGGGTGTGCTTGTGTGCAGATACCTTTTATGTTGAATGCTTGTTTTGCTTGGTACATATAATGTATTGCCTACAGATTTATATAATGTACATTGATAGTGATACAATTTGTAAAAAAAAGAAATCAATAAAAAAATTTGAGTCGGCCCCATTTTGGCGGGTCGGTTAAAGTTCTGCTGTATGTGCTGGGCTGAAATGTTCGCCGTATACAGTGGTAGCCTGACTATGCAAAATATCTATCGTGTATATATATATCTGTAATCTAATTAAGCGCTAATAAATACCTTTTTTAGTGTGTTTATTAGCTCTTGATCTAATGTATATCTTATTGGCGCACGCCGAATGCGCACTGTCTGCGGGTTTATGTGCGCAAATGGCGCGTGCGTTTAGCTCAGCGCCGAATGCGCACCATGTGGGGGTTTTAAGGCATATCACTATCAACTATCAACTGTCATTGTTTAATTTGTATTATGTTATACGTGTGTTCTTTCAACTCGCAGAACAACGTCTGAATACTATTTCGTTGCGAGGTTTTACGAGTTAGTGAGGTGAGGTGTTCCTTTGTTGACCGTCTCCCCGTAGTGTCAACAGCTAATATATATATATATATACATGCGTGTTGTTTCTGTGTAATGGCGTTTAAGAAAACGTTGTAAATTGAAGGGAATATTATAGCTGCTTCGTGTGGTTACCAGCCTTTACCTGTCTTCTCACCAGGAAAGCAATTGAAACGCCGAAAGAAAGAAGTCTTATATATATATGTGTCTGCTCGACCGTCTGAACATTGTGCACTTAGGCCAGAATAAAAATATTGTTTGTTTGCCCTCACCCGCTAACAGCAGTTGCTAACCCACCTCTAGAGGACAGACGAACGGATGGTCCTGCACCATCTCCAGCTCGTCCGACTGGTGTCAGATACATAAAAAATCCACAGGGGGTACCAACCAACCCCTCCCCAACTGTGCATTACCCCCCCCCTCCACAATTCCTGGATCCGCCGACGAAACCCACCCGAGCAGATCAAGTAGAAAACGACCGGGTAGGGTCCTTTCGCTAATACTAGTCCGAATGAATTAGTCTAGCTGCTTGCCACTACCCACCAGTAATGACGTGCGTGTAACCGCGGTCTCGTACCTGCAGTTCTAAGCGAGCGATAGTTTACCATCAGATACTGAGACCACACTAACAAAATCTGACAAGCCAACTAACACTTCGGATATTAATCTTGCGCGACAAACTGACACGGCATGACGCTATGACGGCATTGCCGAAAAAATGGTCTTGCGTGTTTCCGTTGCGCGAAAAATAACCAATTTCACTGGAGAAAATCCTGCGACCAGACACAAACATTGTGAAACCTTTGGCAACACGATGACTAACCTTGTTACCAAGTTATACCGGCGGCAGTGTGACTGACACATTCAAACCATGTTACTGTTAGTCCAAAGCTAAAATTTCACCACGGCAACTACGACATGTGCTGTAGTTATTCCCCTTAAAATGGTTGCCCTTCTCCAGTAGTGCCCTCTATAAATTTGGCTGAGCTATACAAGTCAATAATGGCTGCTATAATGCCTTCCTACAGGGTGCGAAATTAACGCGAGTCCGGAGTCAAATACTCCCTGATTTGACATATATATATATATATGCAGGAGTCGCAGTCTGTGTTACTCCCTGAAAATTCTGCTATATATATATATACTAACTACAGTGACACAGTAGTTCGTTCTATGGCACGGCATCGCTGAATTACCATATTTTTTTTTAGCAAATGTCCCAAGAAAATTTGGCAGACGTGCACTGCAAATGTCCTTTTTGTTAATATCTTTAGTTTTGAACTTCAGAATGTGGACTCCCTCTTTTTGAAGGTAGGGAGTCCGTTGGATTCGCTTGTTCAAGTTAATTTCTACCCCTGATACCACGTGTTCCTCTATAGGCATAGATGCCCTTTCCGGACACTTCACGTTGCGTATGAAACTATGAATCCCTCTTTCTACCACCGAATTTTTTTTTTAACAAGTGGCCTTGGCAACCCTTCTTTCTAATAAATGATTGTAGTGGTGCCATAAAGTATCTAATTTTAAAAAAGACACTACTATTGAAGCCATACAACATTAAAATCAGACCATTTCTAGAGTACATATTGCCATGTTACTGTAGCTATTGAAGTAAGCGTAATTGAAATATTAAGTAGATCAGTACTTATCCAGCAGTATAAATAATGTGTGTATGACATCATCAACAGATAAAATCTTGGTAGTAAATGTTACAGGTCTGGGTTTTCCACCAGTCAGTCTAGACAGAAATCTGATCAATAAATGTTAGACAACTTTAAATGCTGCCTGCAAAACTAGGGGGTGAATTCCATTTACTGCAAAACCTAACACATGTCTATTGATCTTGTTCACTTCAATTTTTCAGTATTTGCATGGGAGCATATAGACAAATAGTATAGCATAGCGTATAACAAACACAGTATTATCGCATACATATTCAATTAATTGCATATATAGACATTCAAAAAATGAGCTTTCAAGAAACTAAGAAAAGGTAACGATATCTATTATTATTAATTCTTTGGTAAACTATAAAAATCACAATTACCAATAAAAATAAGAATATATAATCGCAAGCCAAATTCATTAGTTATTATAGTTGGATTTGAATACAAGGGTGAATCGAATTCATAGTCATACCAACCGATGAAATCTCAGATGGAAAGGGCAAAAATGCAAAGTAAATCTACATTATTGGTATTTAGACCACAGTACCGTCCGTATGCAACATACGTTTGCCTTCATTATGGTAAAATAATTAAGGGGGAGTTTTAATAAACTTCTTATCATATAATCGGATCACCTTAGAAACCTCGTGGTTTGCCTAGATACACCCTTTTCGAAATTTTTACATTATGCCCAGGTCTGTTGGGTCGGGGTAAACAGTATTCATTTGCTTAGATTAATATTCTGACAGGACTGTCTATTTTCACAAGCTGTAGACGGGCAAACGACTGAGTGTTATTTAACAAGGATGGCATGAATAGGACAGTTAAAGAAGAGTTACCGACATCGAAACGATACGTTCGACACATGTTAACTAGACGTTCCGTTCCCCGTGCATTTTGTTTATAGAGTGCGAGAAGAAACATGGGGCGACGGTGCGAGGCAGCACCGTGTCATCTGATACCACGTATTCACAATCTCTGCTTACTGTCAGCGATGGCAGCCGAGAAACCGTACACGTCGTCGTGCATACGTACGATGCTGCCAGCCATTTTACGCGCGTTTCCGTGACACGTACACGCACGCGAGCGATTAGCGCACGCAACCCACCGTAGCTTCTTCGCAGGGATCCTTGATGATGAGTCGAGCGCGTAACGTCTATCGGAACAAATTCTCGGGTTTTTCCCCTCGTAAGAATCGCGTGCTAAAAACTACCAAGTGCTACTTCTTGCAACTTACGAGATAAGAATTGCCTTTACTTAGTGATACGGTTAGGATCAAGTCAATTCTAGGGGTTCGGTCTAATATTTCACGATCCACGTGTATAAATTGATGCAGAACTTCAACTGCCTTATCAGTGTTGGAAATGGCAGCCCATCTTCAAGTCCGGGGCTGGAAACTTTTGGCCAGGACTGGAAAAATTTCTATGGCTTCATACTGTTGATTACGTAGTAGATATCAAAATGTTATAAATGATACAAACACCATATACAACACATGCTCTCACTGGCTGAGTTCCCAGCCCTGAACCAATGAGAGCCCGATTTACGTTTCACCAGGGAATCAACATGAAAAATGGCCGACCCCATGAACGTGTATCAACGTGTTCCTACTCGATACTCCTACTCCTAGTCCTAGCAGGATAGAATGAATTAGTTTTCATTCTGGTGGTCAAAAAATGTATCAAAATTATAGGAAATGGTGAGCGAATCGTAGTGGCGTAATCATAGCACTGAAATCGTAGTGATTCCACTGATTATTGAATGTTTAACTATAAAAACAAAGCCTCGCATTCCGGAAAACTTTTCAATGAAATTCTGGGGCCCAACATTATTTCTACTCCCCTCGGGCGACTGGGTGAGTGTTAATTTTCATCACTGTATTAGAATTTAGATATTAAAATTTTATAAATGAGGACTGGCTGGGTTTTCGAACTTATTTCCAACATTTGTCTTATTCTCTATGATGATTTAGAGCGAGTCTATGAGTCACAAGGACACTGTGAATTCTGAGACAACCAGATGTTTAGCCAGTGGACTGAACATTCAGGGAACAGACTCACAGCCATGGCCTTATAATTAAAATATCGTCTTCCCGAAAAACTTTTTGAGCCACTTTCAGGCACGTATTCTGTAAAATGTACATGCCCGAATGACATTCTAGTTGCCCATACATTTTGCAGGAATATTTTTGGAATAACGAGTGAAGAACTATACACCCGCCAACTTCTAGACGCCATTCGTTTCCGGTGTTAACATTTCGTGATTATAAATTAAAAACGCGTAGTTCACGGACAGTTGTATTATTCTCTCAGGGTTCTCAAGAGCACTTCGTCGAGCCCCGCCATCCTAAAATGCGCCCGCCACTCTAAATATCATAGCCGCCATGCTAAAATTAGCTAAAAAATGCTAAAACTAGGACCGTAAAGGCAGCCCCGCCATTCTATAATGAAAAGGCTTGGAGAACCCTTTCTCTGTGCGTTTTTAAAGCAGGAGCCCGTCAGGCAAGTGAGCTTGCAATTCTTAGATGCCCGCCGAGATTTCTACACGTCTCGGGCGTCGGACGCTCGGCTAAATTCGAAGACTGGGTACACTACTCACCTGTTGGCCAACATCTAGTGCATGCAGCTGATGGTTTCCTCTCTCTAGTGCTAGTGCTTGAAAGTTACTGTCCAATTCAGATACATGCACGTCTGACGCACGTAACTGAAATATAAAAAAACACGTATATTAACCGAGGATTACCTTAAAAAAACAAATAATAAAACTAGCCAATAAACTACACAAACCGGCAGCACCTGATGTTCCGGTTAGTTCGCAATAAATGAAGATACTTGCTCTTATCGTTTTCCTATATTTACAGTATATTTTTCCTAGGGTGGGACTACGGCAAAATGGCCTTGCACCGGCATTGTTTAATTTTAAACGAACACACAGTGTTTAACATCTTTTTTGTTCTTTCCTGACGTTGCCGCACCGGTTAGCCCGACCAGGCTGTGCGACGGATTATCTATACAGCCTGACACCCTTCCATACAAAAAACCTATCACCTCTGCAGATCTAGATGAATAACTCTTTATATCTCAAATAAAACTATTCTATTACCACATTTGACTTGCCTTATTTGAAATACGAACGTTAACTCACAGTTGTCCTGCTTCTAAACTAGAATGTATCTCTTAATTCACGGTATAATCTGCTAATTCTCACAGCATATTAACTTTCCAATCAGCTTTACCCGCCATGTTTAGCGAGGCACGGAAAACCCGAAACGGAAAAGACTCGCTAGAAAATACTTCAGAAATAGTACAATAGCTGCACGATGGCTCTCACTGCAATTACACACCAAAGCAAGTGAAACGATGTTCACAAATGTCTGGGGCATTTGTAAAAACCTTAGATAACATGTTCTCGGATGTAGGGGTGGTTTACATGAGGACCGCAGATCGTTTAATTTCCTTTATTCAATCCATTACGGATTTTAGTCACAGTCGGAATGATAGCAAACATGGCGGCGAATTCATAAATTTTGTTGCATTCGTCTCAAAATGTGGCTGTAACCCCGTAAGTACCCAGCGCATCGTAGCACACTGATGGTTACAAGAAGGTGGACGTATACCGATTCATTTGGTATATCACATGTGTAGTGTTCTTTGGCGATACTTGGCAAATAAGGCAACTACGTGTTTTGCTGGAGCCAAGGTTTCAAACGGTATTCTAACCCTAGCAATACTGTTTCTTGGAGCTACCGCACCGGTCAGATATAATACACAGCATGCAGCGTACCTTCAGCTACTTTTCATGGAGTTGGGCGGAAAGTGGACGAAAGAATTTCAAGTTGCACTAGGGTAACATCGACCATCGTGCATTAAAAATCAAACGTGTTTCATTGCTGAAAATGCAACTACACACTAGAAAATCCAACACTGGCATGATAGCCCTTTAAGAACCCAAGGATTTGCACACAAGCGTCATTCGCGTGTCAGGTTTTTTTTACGCGAAGGTACACGTTAAACACTCTCCTGTACTATTACTCTTACGTCGATAAAAAGTCAGGCTTCTCGACAGCAGATAAAACACGTTTAGGTACAGAATCACAATACGACGAGAGCAGAAAACTCACTTGTTCTAGCACACTGTCGTCACCAACAGCCCACTTTTTGGTGTACTGAGTCTGTAGGTCACTGTCAGATTGTGGCCTCTGAAAGAAATAGCCGACCATAGCATCGTCCTGCGAACGAAGGCTCGAGTGTCTGACGCCATGTACGTCTTGCTGCTGTCCGTTGGAAAGCATGCCGTGAGAGTCGTTCCAAGGCACTGCGTTCATGCTTACCAAACGCACAAGTTACTCATTCCTCGACTCTAAAAGTCAAACAGACATAGTAAGCAACACGTAGACACTGTCGGAGGTTCTAACTAAAAGTTACGTCAACTTGGAACTCCATAAATTGATGCGAGACGACAGTAAAAATATTCAGATAGGGCGAGCCATGGCCCAACATGGCGACTAGTGAACAACTCATTATAAGACATCGAATATAAACGATAGCTCTGCCATATACAAAATACGGATAGCGATAAATTCTTGTACAATCTACAAAACGACTTCATTAATTAATGTCTAATGCAAAAATATACACGAAAAGACGTAGGATTTACCCTGATTGGCCGGATTTTTGTCGACCTTCAACACTGTAAAATGATCATGTCGGACATCTTTTCACGAAAAGCAGTATGGGTAACATTGTCTGGCCGATGACGTCACGCCAGACTGACCCCCCTCATGCTTACCCGCACAGTCATGTACAGCCACAATGAGCCATGCAGTAATTTCACCACCATATAGCAAGCACCCAGTAATTATTGATTATAGCTAATTGATTTCGGAAAAGCATAACGAATTGCGGACAATTTCAAATTGCTTTTCAATACGGGTTTGAACAAAAATCTAATCATTTTACTCCAAAGTTTCTAGATGCAAATTGCAAAAAAACATTACATAGTCGACATTTTTTCTTACCATTTTATTTAGTTAACGAATTTTCTATGGTAAAATTCTATGGTAAAATTCTATGGTCGAATTTTCTATGGTAAAATTGGTAAAAAAAAATTGCCATTTTTTTACATTAAAAGTAAGAACTAACGAGACTAAACGTATCGTCAA